GGTGTGTGCCACCACCGCTCAGCTATGTACGTATTCCTTTTGGGGACCTGCATATGCCATGCACCTCCTTGGAGGTCAAGGGGAAGCTTTTAGGAGCTAGCTCTCTCCTTCCACCATGTGGGACAGGGGACCCAACTCCTGTGGACAAGCTTGGACACAAGCAGTCTTACCCACTGAGCCCTCTCACTGCCTCACACCTAGACGTTGTACACATTTAGATCCTCCAACTTGCAAGGTAAGTTGTTTTGTTTTGTTTTGTTTTTTCGAGACAGGGTTTCTCTGTGGCTTTGGAGCCTCTCCTGGAACTAGACCAGGCTGGTCTCGAACTCACAGAGATCCGCCTGCCTCTGCCTCCCGAGTGCTGGGACTAAAGGCATGCGCCACCACCACCTGACAAGGTAAGTTCTTTATGGGCTCAACTACTTCAGCTCCTCCTTTTGCTTTGGTTTTTGTTTTGACAGAGGGTCTCACTCTACAGGCTATAATGGCCTGATACTCACTACGTAGCCCAGACTGGTCTCAAACTCATTGGAATCCTCATGTTTCAGCCTCCCAAGTCTTGAGAATGACAAGCATAAACTACCAAAACTTTTTTTAAGAACTAGAAATTACAGGGGCAGTGATGGCTCACACCTTTAATCCCAGCACACCAGAAACTGAGGCAGGCGGGTCTCTGTGAATTTGAGGGCAGAGTGAGTTTCAGGACACCCAGTGCTATTACACAGAGAAAAACCTTGCCTCCAAAAACCAAAAGCATGGCTGGGCAATGGTGGCGCACACCTTTAATCCCAGCACTGGGGAGGCAGAGGCAGGTGGATCTCTGGGAGTTTGAGGCCAGCTTGGTGTACAGAGCGAGTTTCAGGACAGACTCCAAAGCTGCACAGAGAAACACTGTCTTCAAAACAAAACCAAAGAAGAAAATAAAAAACAGAAACCGACACTCGAGTGTGCATTTGTGCTCACACACTTAAACGAAAAGAGTAGGAGCAGGCTAGTGAGCTGAAGGTAAAAGCCAGAAAAGCCTTAATTTTTTGTTGTTGTTTTGGTCTTGGGTTTTTGAGATAGCGTTTCTCTGTATAGCCTTGGCTGAGCTTACAGGCATATGCTATTATTACCTCCTGGCTCTAGTATCAAATTTATAAAGAGCCTCTTGCCTTCATCTGCCAAGTGTTGGAGATTAGAGTTGTGTGCCACTGTGCCTGGGTGCCTGGCCACTTTTTCTGGTGTGTGTGTGTGTGTGTGTGTGTGTGTGTGTGTGTGTGT